ATTTCAATCGTGAGTTTCATGATTATTCAACTCGCTCTTGTTTTAACTTACACAAATTCTCGCGTAGGTATCAATTTGCTATTTGTTCCCAAGCCCCAACTATTTGGAATGATATCCCTCTGACTTTCCGTAACAGCCTTACCATTGGTAACTTCAAAAACAAGCTTAAATTGTACTTCTTGAACCTGACTTAAATTTTTAGCTACCAAAATTGAATATTATACTGAACCTCTGATATACCCGGACTATTGTTTACTACTTGGATTAATCTGCTGCTCTTTGTAAATTTGTGAACATTATACTGAACTTCTAATATACCCCGATTATTGTCTATTATCTAGATTTGATTAGATTAGATTAGAATACCTTAGATTAGTCTATTGTTCTTTGAAAAACTAGTCTTTGTCTCTGACCATAAGCCATTTAAGCCTCTGGCTTTGGCCAATCTTTGGAATTCACTTGTATGACACAAACAATAATAAATAATAAAAAGAATAATATAGAGCTATAGACAACCCCAAAAGCATACATCTTCTTTGTTATAGCTCAAAACAAAAGGGTAAATCAACAGGCTACTCGTGGTTGAATTAGCTCTCTGTTCGAAAAGTCTCAAATTTCCTTTTCGCTACTTTATTTTTGTCTTACAGATTCTATGAACGGTTCAATTTCTTTCGCCTATGTTACATGACAGAGGTTGTTTCAAGTTGCAAGACAATGGCTGCGGACGGACGGTGAGTTTGTGGTTCTGATGACGATCATGACTCATTCCCAAAAACCGAGTCTTGTTCGCTAAACCCTGAGGTCTGTGAACTGGAATATCTTCATTTTAAGGGTGACAAGTTATTGTGGTCGAATGACCTGGAATCGCTTAAGAATTTCGTGGTTAATTTTTTAAAAGTACAAGGGAAATAGCTGACGCCTGGTGGAAGCACGAAACAATTCAAAAGTTCCAACGGTAATGTAATAATTAACTGGTATAACAAGAAACAACAAACTCTGAACTTTCAGGGACGCGATGGTCCTACTTTAAGGGACAAGTTAGTGGAACTAGTGCGAAAGAAGCCGGGAACGTCAACGGATTTGCAAGTCCCTGAACCTTTGGTATCAACCGAGCAAACAATGCAACCATCACTATCAAATGAAGCCAACAGCTGTCACCGAAATAGACGAATATTGATCGACGATGAGAGTCCGCCAAATTGTACTCAAGAGCGACCAAATCCAAAAATTGTGACCGACATTGAGGGATTAACACTTGATTTATTAATACTTCAAAAAAAAGTTGAAGAAAATACAAGGCTTTTGTCCATTGTTAATAACAAATATCAAGACGAAAATACTTCTTGTACCGAACTCCTTGATTACAAGAAGAGGTGCGAAACGTTATTATCCTGTTTCCAAAAAAGACAATGCAATCAAAGAGTCGGAAGAAAGATGTTTGACCTTTGAGAGCCGCGTTTTGAACGAGAGAATTATTCCCTTAAGCTTGCATTAACCATCATTATGCAAGAAAAGAATGAAGTGGAAAACAACCAGCTAAAGTCAAGTGAATGTTGGGTCCATGAGGATGAGTCGCGAGGCAAAAATGGAAATGCAAAACGTAGCCAGAAGTCAGTGCGCTCTAGTATCACCGAGACTCGAAACAGTTTTGAGCTCCTCCGGCAAATTAATGAAGCACAAGTGGATAGGAGAGGAAGACCGTACCGCAAATAACGATGATAGAAGTTTCAGAAGACCCTTGTGCCGGCCTACCGATGTTACAACCGAGTAATAGTAATAGTAATCAAAGTTTAATGTCTTTACGTGGGGCATGGTTAACCATATTGCCCGAGCCAGAGGCTCATGTATGAAACGCAAGACAACAACCCACACATCCCACCCCAAGGGAGGACATCCACCACACAGTAATCTCGTGCGTGGGAAATTAACGTCTCCTACCCTTAACCCTACAGGAGACGGGACCTCCATTTATTCGTCCCTATCCGAGAAGACTAGAATATCTAAACCGTTTCTTGATGTTATAGAAAGGCAGCATATTCTTCTCAATTATTTTAAGACCTTGAGTGTTGGTCCGGCCGGGGCTCGAACCCTCGAACTCCCGCACAGCAGTCCAGCGGTCTATCCATTGAGCTAACCGGGAGGCGCACTTCGCCGCCTTAAGCCCTTAGTACCGGCAAATACCATATTACTTCTTTACAAGAGTTTTGCATTATCACATTTT